GTCTCGAGCGACTGTGACAAGTTTTCCACGTGGCTTATGGAGCTCTTCGGGAACGCCATTGGTTTCATTCTCATCTGACTAGACTCCCAAAGGGGGGGGGAGGCATGTCCCACAAGCTGGCGTCCAGCTGCTTGGCTGGCGAGAAAATGAGAGAGCAAAGGAGGCAGAAAGGCTAAGGCCAGACGGCTCAACGCGCCGGCGGCGACCGTCTTGGGGTTCAGGCCAACCCTAATTGCTTGCTTTGCTTGCTCAAGTCTCTGGCTTCTCTTTTCTCCCTCTCTTTGCTATAACAGGTTACAATCCACTTCGGATCGGAAGTCCACCGCTCTTGGCGCTCTCTTTCCCCCTCGGATGCTCGTCTCGTGTAATTGACGCTACCCGAGAGCCGCTAGGTCTGTGTGACCGAAAAGACCCTTGATCTCTGTGCTGTGGACGGAATACATATTTTCGACGAGGGGGGGGGGGGGGGAAATTCAGCATACAGCGGAATGCTCGCTTACTCGTGCCTGTCCATCGCGGCTTGGTTGCGCCCTCTCGACCGGCGTTCTATATTCATGATGTTGATATACCATTCCATCTAATCATGGTGTGCGTGCGGAGAACCGATATTCTTCCCAGGTTCCTGCAATCACTCTAATAATGCCACACTTGCTCCGTGTCTCTATCCGGCAAAGACCCTTGGGAGTCAAAGGACCCTGCCGCATCTAGCAGCCGATCTGTGCGACTTACTCAGCTATTTGATTGTCCTTTGTGCGAGAGAGGCTATGCCCTTTCCAGAATGCTCATATTCAATAATCAACTCTGGACTCGTCTGGAGTGTCTGTTGCAAGTCCCATGCTAGAGTGGCTCGAGTGATGAGTATTGCCTGCGATATTGCCAATCGACAAGGCTCCGTATGAACCCTGCATTGCGTGTAAGCCACCGAGTCTTTTGCAACACTCGCCACTCCTTGACAACTTGGCACACTGAATGATCATGGTTTGTCGTCATTACTAGAATAGGAAATATTATACGGAGAGCTATGCAACTTGCAAAGCCAGTGAGATCATAATGTTTACTACTGAATCTCTATGCTTTGCAAACGTGGGGGTAAATGGTCAATAAAGGGGCACCCACTGCTCTCCCGTTGCCCTCTGCTCCGTCTTCCCCGTCCTTCCCGTCCTTTCCGTGTGGGCATATGGCCGTTGCCGGCCATTGTCATAACAAATAGAAACGAAATAGGGTTCAGCGAACATGAAAATCGTCAGCTTCCCACAACCACGGTTCTGGATATGGAGGGTTCAAAATAGTCTTTGTGATTTGCATCTTGCTACATCCTGTGACGTAAATGCGGAAGTACGCGACTCTCGTTTCGAAAAGTGAAAACATAAGGTTTCCATGGCTCCCTCTGCGGAGTATCCCAATAAGGCTATCCGGACGAAGGTCTCGACACGTCTTCCGTGCGACGGTGTATGGAATTCAGTCATGACCGGCAGAGCTACTGCATCTTGTTCCTTGCTGAAAAAGATCTCGGTGTCGAAGACTCCGGCCCGCACTTGCCAGCCATCTCAACGGTACTGGACTTTGTAGGAGCTCCCCGAGCTGTACGAGTTGGGTATCTTGACGTTGCTCGAATATTGGCCAAGTGTCCGCCTTGATTTGGTGTCACATCTCGATTGTAACGTGTTGTCTTCCATGTCTGCCATCGTACGTGCCTCTCCTCGGCTCAACACTGGCGGTAAAGCCTATTCGCAAAGGAATTATAATGATAAACGCCAGTTTCAGAGGCACACTGGGACAATATCATGGGAATACACCGTGCTGCTTGACGGCTGGCCAGCCTGTCATAGTCCCTCGAGACGTTGACTGCCTGCCGTCTCAATTGGCATTTCATCGTCATAGCGGTGCTGCCGGCAACAACGTTTCAACGGTTTCAACGGCCCCTATGCAGCTCCAAGTGTTCAGCAGAAAGTCCAACATCATTTCTGAAACTCTAAAAAAGAGAGAGAAATACCCTAAAGTTCTGCCTCGGTTCGCCAACGGCGTTAAATGGGGTTTACGCAAAAGATTCAAGGCATCTCTTTGAATCATAAATTCTTGTCAGAGTCACACCTTCTGACTTGTGTGAATAGCCCGGGGATTGCCAAAGCCTGGCAGGGCCGCATGAGGCTGCTTTTCTGACCAGTCTGCCGACGTTAGCTTTACCCTTCGGCTTTCAGCCCAGCGAGGAAAGGCGGGTTTGCTTTCGCTTCGGCCTGCATGATTATTGGTCGTTTGTCGTTCCGCCCAGGGCCGAACGAGCCAGTCCTCGGGGTGGGAGAGAGAAAAAAATGCACGGCAATGAGTCAAGAAAGGCGCGTCTGCTTATGGTACTTATACCACCAACAGCAGAGAACAACCAGTCTCAGGCGCAGCCAAGCCACTTCTCATGCCGGCAGTCGAGAACGGCAGTGCAAGAAATATGTATGCCTTTTGCTAGAGTTTCGGGCAATCGGTAGGCGCCGCGAAGTTGTAGGGATTCCATTATCGAGCAACGACGGCGAGACAACTCGAGTCAACAAGAAAGCCGTCGTTGATGCCCCATGTACTGAGGACATGTCAAATGTCTTTACGCTGTCATCGTTCCGTACTGAGCGAATACATGTGAGAGTAAAGGGTGAGTGCCTCATCCGAGTAGAATTGCCAGTTATCGAATCTCATTGCAAGCCTGACGTCACCTGCTATCATATGGTTTGCTAAGATCTTAGTGCATGGAGATACAAGTCCGGCGGGTGTTTCTATACTTCCAAGATGGAGAGCATTCGACTATAGTATTGGAATGGACTAGACCTTGTAGCAAGAGCGTCGCAGACAGAAGCTTATCTTGCCCTAGGGCTATAGAGAAATCTAGATATTTTGAGATGGGCTTTGAACACTATGTCACATTGGCTCGTCTCTGCTTGGCCAATAGAATGAATGGATATTACCAAAACCGAAAAGCAATACTGAATATCGGATATGGTTTGATAATTATGCTCACATTGGGGCTTTTTGTAGTAGCATATCCCGATTGAGAACCATTTCAGACGTTCCATGTAAAGAGGACAACACATGACTTGTTCTATGCGAGTAATGAAACAACACATACATATAGGTTCATTGAGTGCTTGCCAAGTGATTGCATGATATTTTAATGACTGTTAAGGGGTGTGAGTAGCGAGTAATAACAACTAGACTTGACGATATGCTGGGATTCTTTCTGGACATGTCTTGCCAATCACGTTTCATAATAAAGTGCGGTGCACGCATATTCAGGACGCGCACCGGGAGATGCTATCACCTCAAATAGATTCGTGTTCCGGAGCTCTCACTGGGCTGAGGAGCAGTCTTCAAAAATTTGGGAACAATCCCCCGAGCTCAATAAACCATTTGACATGCGTACGAGCTTCCTGTTTTGGGGGAAGGAAGTAGAAAGAGAAGGGGGAAAGGGGAAAGAAGGGAAGGGATATAAAATGGCGTAACCCAAAGGAGAATAAAAGAATAAAAACCAGCAAGAGCTCATCGAGGCCCAGAACCCGGGTCCAGCCCGGGTTTGGGGGGTCAAAGCCGGAACCTCTTACCTACCTTTAGTTTTGCGAATTTCCACCTTTACCATTCTATTGGGGGAAACCTATTGGTGGTCCATGACTGGACTGAACGGCCACGGCCCCCGCCATGGAATTAATTCTCCAAGGAATTTCAATCTTTAAGGGATAGGAGCTCCTGTAGGAGCTCGAGAGTCGGATAGTGTTATTAGTTTTCAAGAGTCGTTCCGTTTTCAGCGGAACTTTCAGGCTCATGCTGAGGAGCTGCCACGCGTGAAGCTGCCGCCTGCAATCACAAGAGACATTGAACCAGACACAGGCATTTAACAGGTGGGAAATGGATGTTCAAACATTTCTGAAAGCCAGACGTAGCCAGGAGCTTAACCATTACATTACATAGATCATGAGTCACAAATGTTTCCTAGGCAGTTGATTCCATAACTGTGCACAAGGTATGGCAGTCAACATCTAGCCAGAAGCTCCTCCAAATGGCTGTAATTAACAATCCGTATCTCTTCTTTAATCTCTACGTGGCTTGAGTTTCTGCTTGATCAGGACTGGTTAAAGTGTTTACACGGACGAATGGCCATGGCCTGCCTATTTTGCAGAGATAAACTTGAACAAATGAAATGCTTAAAGACGACACTCCCCTTCTTTTGTTCTTCTTATTTCTTTATTTCCCCTCCAAAAACTTATCAAGCCCATGTGCTGCTAAGAACAGAGCTTCTTGGCTCAATTCAACAAGTAATGATGGATGGAAGTTGCGTAAAATCACCATTTACCTTGCTACGTGCAACAAGCGGGTCAGAATGTACCATAAGCGGTCCACGGGAGATAAAGCTCTCTTATCCATCATTCTGAATGATTATATTTGTATACATTACAGATCAAAGTCTGCCGAGCATCAATATCTATGAAGCATCTAGTGGGAGCCGTAATTTCGAGTTCGAGAAGGCATGTACTTTTAGATGGTCGGATACTATGACCTTCATGGTGTTTGATACATCATCGACCAAACAAGAAAGTACCATCCAGAGCAAAAACCATTCTGTTTTGAAAACATTGAATCAAAAGATGTCCAGCAGCGGGAGTTGACAAACCCTTATTGGCCGTATACTTTGGCCGTATACTTTGGCCGATGACGCTTGGAATATCCGTGCAATATTTAATCAATGCAAGTCTTCAGGAATTCATGTTTCCAAGCCACATGGAAAGATGAACACGAACAAGAGAGTGTGGTAAAATTATTTCGTTGGCAGACTTTCAGATTTGGTAGCATTGCTATGTCCTATGTTGCTCGGGCAAACTGCGGCAAAACTCGCGTGCAGAAAACCTGCACGAACTTAGCCCAATTTCCTCCCCATCAACAACATCCTCAAACAGGTTTCACTGCAGGGAAGGTACCGATAAAGGCGCAAACCACAAGTCATCTGCAAACCCGACCGGCCCTTTGATAACATGGGTCGCCCAAAGCGTAATGCTCACGCGGCAGCTGTCGAGTCCACCACGCCGCCTGATGAGCTCGCGGCCAACCAGTCGCTGGCATGCGTAATCAAAGCAGAAGGCAACAGTGTCTACAGCTGCTCTCTGCCCGACAAGCGCACAGTCATGGTCCAGCTCGCGGATCGCTTTCGCAACACCATCTGGGTCAAGCGTGGAGGTTATGTGCTTGTCGATCTCACGCCTTCCCAGGAAATGAAGGGCAAAGTCGAAGGCGAGATTGTTAATGTTGTCCGCGAAGAGAGGTTGTGGAGAAAGCAATCGTATTGGTCAGTCAGCACTTTGCTTTTCCACCTTGGTCCAAGCCAGAAGCTAACCAATGGCAGGCCAAAGGAGTTCGCCCCAGTTGTGTATTCAGATGAGGAAGAGTCCGACTCTCATGTCGGCAAGATGCCACCGTCTGATTCCGAGGATGAAGACTGAATTGGGCCATCTTGACGACTTCAATCCGACTTCTTTGACGGGGCCGCTTGCGTTTGAGTCGCAGTGACTGGAGCAGGGACGGGTTCCTTACTGCCTGCAACCCATGACATGACAACGGTAATGGCCAGGACACCAATTACAATAGCCGAGCTGGCTGAAGTGCTGGGGTATACGTTCCATGCCCATTCTTGCAAGGCCCAGAGGGCGTACTGGAGGACAGGGTGGGCTCCGCTTCGCCAGAGCAGGTACGGGGTGGCCCAGGCAATATAGGCATAGAATTGATAGTGGAGGGATCTTGCGAACAACAAGCCGATGATGTTGGCCGAGAGCATGGTCGTCATGACGTACTGGGGTGTAATGGCAGACGCTACGAGAGCTTCGTCCCGGGGTCCAAAGGGAGAGGACAGCTGTAGTGTTGGCCCAATAAGGTCCATGAGTGGGCGTCGAGACAATGCCGGCCGCAGCCATTTCTTGACCATGAATGCGGCAAGAACGAGGACATGGAGGCCCAGTAGAGTTAGAGCGAATTCGCGGCTCAAGAAAACATCTTCTCCAACAAAGCGCCAGTTGACCGTCCACTTGAAGAAAAACTGCCGTGAAAGCTCAAATGCCCGTGTCAGATAGCCGGTCCAGTTGCTCTGGAAGAAGGAATTGCCAATTGCAATCTGCAGCTGCAATATGATCATTGCCACCTTTAGACTGCCAGACACACCTCTGCCTTGAAACAAGATGGCAGCGATTGCAGGGAGTACCAGCAGAAGTGTCATCTTGATCCCTAGACCCCATGAGTAGAGCACTCCACCGACAGTCCAAGCCTTGCGCTGAAAGGCGAAAATGGCCAAAAAGAGGAAGAGGATGGCAAAGCAATCGTTGAAACAGCGCAAAACAAAGATGCTGTGGAGTCTCTTGGAGGCAATGAGAAGGGGAAAGACGTAGGGAGGGACCTGGGAACAGCATTAGCACAAGATGAATGTTTTCCTGCTGCCCTTGCTGGGAAATGTACCTTGGCCTGCCAATAGCACATCATCACGACCGCCAGTGTAATCATGTATAGAACCGCGAATATATACTGAGCTCGGAGGATGTTGGTTCCATTGTCGGTAATCTGGTAGAGCGCAGCATACGTGTACACATGCGCAGCTGGATAGACCAAGGGTCCCGTTCCGCCCTTGATCTTTGTGTAGTCGCGTTCTCCGGACATGTACTGAGCAATCTGTTCCATGTATGCCTTCCAGTCAATCTCGGTGTCTATGGGCGAGGAGATTGGGTCAGCAGCTGGTCAAGGTCGTCTGGGGCGCACCTCAAGTTGTCGCAGACGGGTGCAGTGCACTTTACTTACATGGCACCTTCCAGATGATTAGGGCGCAAAGAAGCGCGTCCACGACCCAAAGACCGATGGGCACAAGTTGGGACAAGACATGACGCCTGTTGGCGACGTCGCCGACAAATGTCACGGCTTGCGCAACAATGCCGGGGCGTTGGTCGGTCATGGTGAGCTTTGGGTGATGTCTTTGGTTGCTCGTCGCGCTAAGAAATGAGACAGGTCGCGATTGAGCCACGGTATTACATTACTTATTAGCTGGGCGGTTTCCTCGGTGGAGCCCTAGGGGAGCTTAGCGGGTTGAGGGACAGCTCATTCAGGTACATGGCTGCTCTCCATAAGAGCTCTTCTATAATAAAAATGGCCCCCACAGCCACCTCTATTAAAAATAACGATACTTGCGGTCATTCATATACTCTTTATTAAAACTTTTGCATCTGAAAATGATATGCCGGGTATTTTCAAAGTGTCATGAGTGTTTGTGATTTTGAGTATCTTTCGATCATGCATTTGTAGTGGGTGGGTGGGAAAATGACCGGCCAGAAATGGTTTTTATTATTTATGTAGACTTGAGCTCGACGTCGTTGTATTCATGAAATATGCCTATCCTGTTTTCCTTTCCAAAAAAAATCCATCCTTTTTTGCATGCTTCTTGAAATTCAAAGCTGTCAGTAGCGTCTATATATTACAGCTTGGATGGAGTCTGTATCTCGTCGACCAGCTCGACAACCCTCTCAGCGCATCCGTACGAACCCTGATATCCCCATCCAGCATGACCATAGTTGTGTACCACCCAAGTGCCGTCAATCTTTTCTCTCTCAAGCCTCACTCCACCCTCACGGTAAGGCCTCAAACCTACAGCGTGGCGAATGATGTCGAGACCTTGCACGCCCTTGCCATTGGTCAACTCGGGCACCATTTCAACGGCCCGGCGCATGATGCGCATGGCAATGTTGGGATCGGGTCGGCTCTCCCACTGGCCCTTTTGGTAGGTGCCGCCGAGAATGGTGCCGCCGCCATTGGCCCGCATCATCATGTAAAAGAGCTCGTCGTCGGCGTCGTCGGTGCCCGACTTGGTGATCATGTAAGGTGCCTCGTTGCGGACAATGACGAGCTGGCCGCGCACGGGGGCCATTTTGCTGTCCATGACGCCGCCGAGCTTGAGCGCCATCAGGCCCGAGGCGTTGACAATGACGTCGGCTTTCTTCCCCGTGTGGCTCATGCCCACAGCCTCGGAAATGTGCTTGAGGTTGCCGCGCTTGAATACGACTCCATTCTCCCGACACTTGCCAACGAGCCACGGTAGGTACAACATGGTGTTGATACAGATGGAACCAAATTCGCATCCAGAGGCTACATCCTCGGGAAGGTCCTCCTTTGGAAGCTCCCGAAAGTCGTCAAAGAGTGACTTGAACCATGGGTCTTCGAGGAACAGCCCATCAAAAGCGTACGCTCCATTCTTGAGTTTTTCAAGATCCTTCTTGCGGCGGTAAACGCGACTCTCTGTAATATTTGGTCAGTTTTGCCGATTATATGGACTAAACTGCGGGTATAACTTGCTCATTTCATGAATGCCAGCTTCCGGCACTTCCTTCGCCAGCCTGTGCAGCTCTGGCCAGGTTCGTGTTTCCCAGCGACTATTGGCTTGAAGAGACATTCTACGAAGTGGTCAATTTAATGCACCATCACTGGTTTCGCCACGTCACATACGGCAGGACATTGGCGCCGGCAAAAGGTGATGCATATTCGGCATCATAGTCGCCAGGCATGAATTTCGCAACGACGGTGACTTTGTTGGTCTTATCCTTGGACAACAGGTAGGCTGAAGTCAAGCCGGAGACGCCAGCGCTTTGGACGGATCCGTCAGCTTCGCAGTTTCCGCCAAGCTTGTTCGAGCCAACTCACCCTAGAACAACGATATTCGGCATATTGGAGGGATCTACTAGTAGGGACGACTCTAAGATCGGCTACTGGGACCTGATGTCGTCTGGGGTTGCGGGGAGAGCTGAAAAAAGAATGGAGAAGAGATCGAGGCAAGATCAAGAGCGAATGGGAGCGGAGTAGACTATGGTTTGCTTATATCTGTTCAGCTGGGTGACTTCAACGACGCCACTTTGCAGGCAACACCGTTATATTGAGTGGTGGTGACATGGAGCAATCACTTGGGAGGCGCGGACCGATGCCAGCCGTTATCGGGCTTCCGCGGTGGGGACTGCAAACCGGTCCGGGGCTCCTAGACTCGTACCGGGGGTTTCCTATCTGGCGCATCGTCAGATCGTCCACCTCGTAATTACGACACCTATCGGACGTTATTATAAAATGCAATTACGGAGCCGGTCGAAAGCGAATACGGGCCCGGTCATCGGATCGGGCTTTTCCCATGCTGCATCAACATCGTTTCATTACATGTGCGATCATGGCTTCTCAGAATTTCATTGGTTTGGCAGCCAATCAGTCACGCCGGCAAGAAGGCGGAATCATGAAAGCCGGCACTTGCATGACAGACTCCGAAGCCGATATTTGCATCAACATCCCGGTTCTCTTTGGTGTTGAAGTGCTTCTCAATTGACCTTACGCCTGCCAAACGGCGGCCAAAATGCGTGACATCATCGAGATACACATTTTCGACTGTTCCCGAAACGCGTATACTGAGCAGATGTGGTTGACATTCTGACTTTGGGACAAGCAAGACACAGCTAACACCGTATCCCATTAGTATCATGCCTTGCTTGACTTGTTGTCAGACTGCCAGAGCCCTCTTACAAGACGACATATATTCCGTACATTGACAAGACACGCCATTGTTTGCTATGTAAGGGAGAAGCAACAGACACAACAATGCTTGAAAAACGTCGGTCAATATCAAGACCCTCTGTATGCAAGAATGCTTGCAGGAATACCGCTGCCCCGAAGCTGGTCTCTCCTCAATGCCGTGACATGAAGCTGGCAAATATGTCTCATCCCATATGCTTTCCTCTCGGATGCTCTCTCTCGGATTTACGATTGCAGGGCACGCGGAAGGCTTCCATATTCATCTTTCTCAATCTCATCACAAGCCGAGCTCCACGAGGACCCACATTAATCATATTCGACATGAATTCAACGAGTCTCAGGGAAGCCAACCAGCAAGCAAATACACAGAAGAGAAATAATTAGTCCATGTTTCAAGCAACTCAGTGACCGTAGTGAGCATCATACAAGATGCCGTGTTACATAGTGGCTCATGAGTGTGGCAATGCGTCAGATATCTTGTGTGAACAAGGCGTTGTTAAATCATGTCTTGTCACAACACTTTACAAATGTTGGAGGGGGCTTGCTGAGAAACCAACTTGCAGTTTGGAAATCATGTCATCATTAGCCAAGCAGCCAGTGGTCTATATCAAATCGAGATTCTATAAGATTTGCAGTCCGGGGACAAACAGTAGAGGTAGTCATGGATAGTATAGGCGGGTGGAAATATCCTTTGAGATACTATTAAAATTGAAAAGATGCCTTTCAGGATCTCTATACGTGAACTTTTGCTATAAAGGCCTCCCGCTTTGCGTTGCGTTAGTAAAAAGTGCCAAAACAAGAACCCCACGCAAGCAATCAGCTAATTCACTCGCACGTTTGCCCGAGACTAGAGGCGCATTCTCGACATCAATGACGGGCTGGGACTGATACAGCATGTTGAAAGGATTGCATGATCCTCAACGCATACATAGAAATATTGGTTAGCGAGATGTACAAAGGCCAAGCAACCAACCCGAACCTAAATGATAAGCCGAAGCCGAACCCGAAGTAATTGCAGATCTTTTTGTAAGTGACCTTTTGGATACGACCGCGGAAGAGATACCTTCGCAACGCCATGCTCTTTATTCACTAGGGAGCTACATCAACGCCAACCCGACTCGTTAGGGACAAAGATCAGGTCATTCTTCTGTGAAAGTCAGAGACAGCTGAAGGGAACGGGACAGAAAACCCTTTCGACGGCGTCGGAGAACTTTCCGCCCGCGGGGGGAGGACAAGAACAAGATTATGCAAAACATTTCATACCAAGGCGGTCTGAAAGTCTGAAAGTTCCCTGCAAATCATCACTACTAGTTTATTCCCTAGGTTCAGAAAGCTTATGCATGTTTCCCCCAAACTGTCAATTCGGGGTCCAGATCGGGTCCGGGGGGTCAGCTGAACAATTATCAAAGGGAAAGCGAAAAGTCCCCTCGGCGCCGCTTCTTTTTCTCTGGCCCTCCCCACTATTGCTTGGGAAGGATTGTGCTATCATACGTACGAAGGATTGGACCAGGTCACACTAGAACTTACCGCGCCGTTGAAATGCAGGTGAGCTCCGGCTTTTCTTCTTCTTTTCTTCTATAGAGTATTCCTTGGTACGACTGGAAAAGTCCCGACTTTGTAGGCTAATTGATCGTGAAGGGTCCTGCGCTATAGCATCAGGGAGGGACACAGTAATTATCTGTCGTGGAGAAAGACACAAACAGGCTTCCCTACTGCGGCACGCACGAGTCATTGATGCCAACGGGCCTGCCAAGTTTCCCAGAGCAGAGCCCTTGTTTTTTTTTTTTTTTTTTGGCGCCCAGCTTTGCCCAGCAAAAGAAGATACCGTGGGGACTTCTTGTCTTCTTGTCCATTGCTGGGGACCGCACAGACTTTTCTGGAGAGATTCGTCATATTCGGGAAGGGAGATGCGAGACTATCAAATGATCAACAAAGGAGATATACGACTATTTCCATTCAAGTTGCACTGGACACATGAAGTTTTACTAGACAGGCCGTGACGAGTACCCCGGGTTCATTTCAAGCCTGGCGACCGTGTTTGCAAATCGTACGATGTACATGCTCAAAAGCCAAGATTTCCCGCTTCTTTGCAACCGAACAGCTAGGCCGGTTAAAAGCAAGCGAGGGAAAAAGTTCTATCATGGCCACTATGACAAGACTAAACGACCAGTTCCATGTATGAGTTGTGTGTCAAGTCATAACGGTTGCCGACCATAGGTATTCAGTCTCATCAATTAGTGCAACAAGTGCCGGCCGGACCGCATCGGCACGTGGTAGACATGAGGATTGTCCAAAGGGTCTCGTTAATATCGTCGTTCTAAAAGGGTGGGTAAAGAGATCAAAACCTTACACGGCGAAGCGAGTTACACACGATTCAGCAAAAAAGTGTCAGTCGAGTTGGATCTTATAAAAAAAGAATTTATAATGTCAGTATTCAAAGTAGTGTACCTGGATCATATGGCAGAGCGAATCATGCATACCTACCTACCTCTTGATCAAATCTGTCCAACACCCAAGCCCCTGGGTCCCAAACGGCAGTGCCAATCCGTCGGGTCACAGTCCAATCCAAAAACCCTTGACCCTTGGAAACCTTCAACTCGGTAACCAACGAAGTGGGCAAAAACCCAGCCAACTGGCACGCTGGCTAACGCCCACCCCAGCCCAGCCCCTCTCTTCCAAGCTGGCTTTTAAATGGGGACCTTGGCATAGCATTTGGATGATCTGCGCTGGCAGTCCTCTACACGCGCTGAACTTTGACCATGTGTACAAGACTACTTATTATATTCCTTGGCTAGATACCTATGTATGCGGCAATACCGAGTAGTCAGACGGAAGGGGACAATGGTGGGTGTCCGTCAAGTGAATGACTATTGACAATGAAAGCTTTTCTCTTTCTGAGAGGCCCCCGTCACTCTCGCTCAGTAACATGGGCACAATCGATTTCATAACAAGTTCCGGCATCGATGGGCCTCTTCCTATGCAAGATTAAGATGTCCGATGAAAAAAAGGCAATTTGAACGGTCAAGTGCTGAATCGTACCATGCAGACTACATCAAGCACACGCATACAATTGAAAGTATACTCGCCGAACCCCCGCGCTGGCACCAAGTGACTCTAAATTGGGGGGAAGCTGCAGCAGCGGGGCCTCACTACGTTGCCTCGGACAGCGCGGCTCTGGTTGTTGGATTTGTGGACTAAAACATTTCTTTTCGTTGCTTTTGCTTTTTTCTTCCCCTTGAAATGCTACACTACTCCTCACTGACCACAGACGGAGGAGCCTGTTGTCGTTGCAACCGACGCAAAGAAGCGGGGAGGGGGAGGAGAAAGAATGACTTGTAGGCGAGAACCACCTGGTCGGGTAGGTAAGATTGTATGTACTATGTACCATATAGGAGCAGCTAGAGTGGTGGTGAACAGTCTGACAATGCAGGACTGTACAGCACATTAGGCCCCAGAAACTCCGCCATGTACGTAGATGGTGCAGGTAGTCAGTCATAACATGATAATGTACGATGCGGTGTACGTGCGTGAGGGTTGGTGAATAAGTTAGTAGTAGACGGACGCTCATGTGTGGCGCCCCAACGAGACGTACAGGGCGCCCACCCGAGCCACCCAATGGGCCCTTTCTTTGCAAACTTGGTAGGGTCAGTCAGAAGGAGACGATTGCTGCAGTGGATTCGGTGGAAGATTGGGTCATCTGAACCCTCCCCCAATGGGCTGGCTGCGTCGGGATGCCCAAACCAGGAAGTTTCTGCATGCAGCTCGACTCAGCTCCCCAAGCTGACTGAACAACTGTTTTCCCTCAGTTTCCCTTGGGACGGATGACAGAGCCAGGTAGACAGGGACTCTGTGGGGAAAAACTTGTACGGCACGGCATTATTTGCGGAGCCACAAGTCGAAAAGAGCCTCACCCATGGCAGGGCCGCTGATTCGGCCGAAGGGGGCTTCTAGAGGCAGGTAGGCACTCGTGTGCTACTCTCGCTCAGCCTCCAAACATTACGTAGGCAAGTACAAGTGCAACAGTGCGAATGAGTGGGAAAAATCAGATATAACAATATGTGATATTTTTGTAATATTCGAATTCCATATCCATATAATAATGGCAAAGGGGTATCATGGACAACATGACAGAAAGGAATACTTTCAGGCTATATAACGGGTTTGTGTGAGATATATATAGACAAATGATAAAGGATGATGGTGATTCGCTCCAAGGGGTGAAAAAAGGAGAGAGAAGAAAACGCCGGCCGCTTGTATGCAGAAAATGTCAAGTTCCATCATGGCCATTATTAAATCGAAATCGGTTCGGTCAACTCCAGGTGCTCGAAACGACTCGATATTCCTCGTAGTATATCTGGATTCGGTTCCAGATTCACCACCCGGCGCGGCATGCGACGGCATTCCGGGCACTTTTCATGAGAGCAATTTGCGCATCTAACACCATCATCGGCATGCGCTGGGAAGTTTTCGTGACACTCGTGACATTCGTAAAAGGCAGACGAGGAAGTTCCGTCCTCGTCGCCAGGGTATCCGTATGGGTACTTCTTTTTCTTGTGCCTATCTTGGCGATTAGCCTTTCGTCGAATACATGATATTGCAAGAGCAGATAGGTGGAAACTTACGGAGTCTTGGGGCAATCGTCACATCGACGATGGCCGCAGTTCTCACAAACGCGCGTGCTCTGAGTAAAGGTAGTGTTGCACCTGTGACAACTCCTCCGAAGCCTCATGCGCGGGACCTTGTGTACCAACGGCTGGCCTCCAGTTCTGCTCGGGCGCGTCACCACAATCGGTTCGGCAAGGCCGTAGTGCGGTATGATGGGCGCAAACTGTTCCTGTTTCCGCATCATGGCCGACGTCTCGGCCTTTTCCCGTTTTTCCCTGCTGGCCTGTTTCTGAGAGTCGGTACGCTTGGGCGGATCCCGGCCGCATTTTGAACAGTAATGGTGGTTGCAATTGGGGCATTGGCTGCTGTTTCCAAAAGAGGTCTGACATCGGTGACAATCTTTGTGTACACGTACGCGGATCGGCTTCTCTATTCGATAAACCTCGCCTTCAGTCGCATGCCAGCCTGTTGGCTCGATTTCCACGCCGTAATGGTCTCCTAGTTTCCTGGCGCGTTCTTCATAAATCTGTGCTCTCGGTACCTGGGCCGCGCTCTGGTAGTCGGCGACATATGCCTGCGCAACTTCTTCGTCGGCCGAAAGGTCGGGGCTTCACATATATACAAGGTCAGCCAGATATGCTCCGAGTGGCAAGATGATTGAAATATTGGCAGTCTTTTCGCACGTACCTGAGCATTTCCGGCTCTGCTGCCGTCTCCTCTGGTTGTGGCTCTGGCTGTGGTGCAGCAGAAAGTCTCTTGGTGAATGTCTTTGTAGTCGAAGCAGGAGACGATGTTGTACCGTCGCCCGATTTTCGTAGTATAGTCTTCATCCGAGTAAGTAGCCCTTTCCTGTCTTTCCCTGGCGTATCACCTGTCCGTCTCGAACTCATTCTCGTTCGTCTGTCGGCTTTCGTTGCGGTGCTATGACGAGTGTATGCAACTTGCACAGAGCTTTTGGCAACGGGATATCACCCAGCAGCCTATTCTCCCCAGGGGTAACCCAAACTCAAAAATATATGCTCGTGGCGCGCATCTGCTGTCTCTGGTTGCGACTCAGTAGCAGCGGCACCGTCACCAGGCCTTTTGTTATGAAACCCTTTTTTTTTTTCAATTTGACGTAAAACTCGGGACAAGGATTATAATAATAATCTTCAGTGGTGCAGGCAAATCCCAAGCCGAAAGTTAAAAGCGCAATGACGAGACTGTCAAGGGCGCCAGTTTGCGGATATCCACTTTAAGTCAAGGCGGGTATGGTAGGTAGCAGACACGCTGTTGTGCGTAGGCGTCGAACGAGCGAGCGGATGGGAAGTTGGGTGAGATTTTAATTTTATTCTCTGTCGCTGCTAACATCAAAAGTGCTCGAGGGGGGTGGGCTTTGCGATGGAAGTGTCGTATGGTTGTTTCTACTCGGAGCCGTACGTGGCTTCGCAAGATGGAGGTGGAGCTACGGACCAGTGACGCGGAGCCTCGAGACCTTTTGAGAGACTCGAGGTTCTTCTTGGGTCGTTCGCGTAAATCGAGGACTTTTTAACAAAGTTGAAGATATCGAAAAGAGCGGGAGGGGGTGGGAAAGATGGAAAGGGAACCGAGCAGCTGGGTAGACGGGGTGATGCAGTCAGTTAGTAGCAGCATTTACAGGGTTCAAGGCTCGATTTCAATAAATAAAATAGTAGGTGCAGTACATGAACGTCGTACCCCAAGGTACCGAGCCTTTACCTCTCTTTCGGGGTTGATGGTCTGTTCAGTCAGCACATAGGCATGAGATTTGGGAAGGAGGGGGGGGCATCTGGAGTATGAGCAGGTGTACGAAACACACTGACCTACATAGGTATGGACATGTAGACGAGGTACCTTGCTGAATCTTCCTCCTGCCAAGGTAGAATTTAGCCAAGCAGCCAGCCCAGTCGATAGGAAAATCCCCCCGTGTACCCAAGTCGGTGGAACGAGTGGTCCTGTTCTGTTTTGCTGCTGCTCCTCCTGCAAAAGACAAACCAGACCCAAGCCCAGCTACCAGGGCCCTGGGCACCTAGACGGCGGGTGGACGGGAATGACGGGGCGTGCGAAAGTACTGTACAGTTGTCGGCCCCGGGACCTTAATTAGAGGCACCAAGCTAAGGTAAGCTTAGCGACAAAGAGGCACTCTTGG